AGCATCATCATCATATTTTCCATACTAGAAGTAGGACTAGTATGTCATCCATCTAATATGACATTGAACCTCCAGATGAGGTTCAAATTTTGGATTCAAGGTGAAGGGATCTAACTGTATTTAGGGTTTGGTTTTCCTCCTCTCTCTTGTAACAACAAGCTGTTGGAGTCAAACTCAACTCAACTAAGCCTTGTCACAATTATATGAGGTTAGCTACATGAATTATGTTCCTCCATTCCATTCTGTTCAGTATTATATCCACTGTTAAATGATGGGCCCATGAATTGAATTATTGTAGGACTAATGTTCTTTTTTATGTATTTTCTTTCTTTCTTTCTTTCTTTTTTCCTGAACCTTTCTTCCTGTGATATTATAAACACAAATAGGAGTTCAGACTAATGTTCAACATCTTTCACAAAGATGACAAGTTTTCCTGCTATGCCACTATCACTTGCACATATTAGAAGTGTGGACTGATGAGTGCAAATTTATTGAAGATATCAAGATCTGGTACTTTACATGGTGGGTTAAGAATTAACCATGCCTCTTCAAAAAAGAAATCTTATGCATGAAATCACCATCATTTGCAGATGACCATCACTAAATAGTTGAGTACTTTAGAGAAGGGTCTCTTCAACTATCAAAAGAGAGCCACTTTTTATGAACATGGAACAGTAACCAATTACCTTCTATTGTAACGTTAAATGTGAAAAATGGATGACAGATAAGTGGATGTTAAAAAACTTGAATAGGCTAATACCATTATACCAATATTCCCATCGAGTGTCAGAAATGACTTAATCTAAAAAGTAAGTCCAATTGAGTTTTTGAACAGTGTGAACAATTTTACTTCATTATCCAAAAAACAAACCATTCAACAATAAGTTTCAACCATCAAAAGAAAGCCGCATTTTATGGGCATGGAACAATAACTGAATAACCAACTACCTTCTGTAAAGTTAAATGTAAAGAATGGAGCTAAAATGTCATATTGCTATTGGCCTAATGGCAGTATTTCCATCAAGCACCACAAGTGGTTTAATCTAGAAAGTAAAATCCATCAATTGAATTTTTGAATTGTGTTGAAGAAGAGGTGAATACTTCCATTACATTTGCAAGCTAGCTCATGTAGTCATGTAGTCCAATGACTTAACAGACTAGAGAAATTAAGAACTTCTGAAACTGTAACCCTGGCACATTCGCAATCAAGAAGATAAAGATTGAAAATAAATATGCTTGCTATCAAGAGGAAATTTTTTTCAACTGGAGACTTCCCTATACTACAGCATTCAACTGCATAGTTACATAAACCAATTTGACCTAATGCTTCTAGTGCAGTCTCACATTCATCTGTATCTTGAACTTTCAGTGACTCCCACCTAACACAATTGCTGAAACAGCAGGTTAATAGCTAAGATCCAGAGGAAGTAATACTATGGTTCACACTAATTCAATCTTGTAGAGGAGATGGGCCGAATGGCCCATAGGTTGTCATTTTATGTTATGTTTATGTTTTTCATCCGTAATGGGCCTTATTTTGGGCCCATACTCTTATATACTCTGTTTTGTAATTTCTTGCTCATCCAAGGGCCCCTCTATAATATTTCAAAGATTAAGTTAATAAAATGATTTAGAGTGTTAGAGGGAGATTAAGTTCGAACCTCTCTTTTCTAACTCTCTCATTGCCACCAGCTCCTTTCCTCTCTCAACTTCTTAAGCTTCTCTTGTTCTTTTTCTGGTTTTGTATCTAATCTCAAGCTGTTTTAGACTACAAGAAGGTTGTTTTCAACTTGGTATCAGAGCAGGACAGGGCTTGGCGTGACCCTCATGTGGTTCTAGTTCAGCCAACTACATGAGGAGGTTCTAGGGCTGAAAGCTTAAAGTCATTTGCCTGGTTCTTGGGGGTCATTGGAGGGTGCCCAAGTTTCTACACACTTGGAGAATGGTTCGGTGACTAGGAAGAATCAGAGAGCAAGGTGTTCAGCCTGATTTGAAATCAGAGAAAAGGGTGTCGAAGTTACCTTAGAAAGCAAGGTGTTCGGCCTGGTTTGAAGTTCAAATCAGAGATTCTCTTACTGTAAGTTTTCTCAATTTTTTGCTGGGTTATTTTCGTTGCTTGGGAGGGATGTTAAAGCATTCAAAACCCTCCTCCATTCTGCCTTACTGTTGCTGGACTGATTCAACTCAAAAATTTCTGGGTTATTTTGGAGAGCAGTTCGGCTGTTATTGGACTGCCAAGCTGTTGAAACTAATTTGGACTAAGTGGTACTAGTCTCAATTTCAGCCCAGCCTTTTTCTTGGACCTATACGAAACACTATTGAAGTGGTTTCTACTAGTTAACAGTAGGCTGTTAACTACTGCATACAAAGTGTTTAACAAAAGGTCTCTTAAGGACTATGGACTTTTTTCTCTCTCTCTTTGGGACAACGGTTGTTGGAGACCTGGAATACTTTGTGTTTGGGGGTCTGCTGGTTGTCCCTTGAAGGCTGAAATAGTAATTCTTACTCTAGAAAGAGTTGCCACCGAACTGGACTGTCACAGTTATCAAGACTGAACTGATTCTGTGAGCTAGTTGTTGTTGTCGATTCAGCTCAAACTAAGTTCATCAAGAACCCCAGTACCTTGGAAAACTTATTAAAATCCTAATTGGAGCCTTTACATGATGGATTTCTTGAACCTTGAAAGCAAGAATGTTGCTAAATATGGACAGGCTTTGGGGACCCCAGCCGATTCTATGTTGGCTGTAACTACAGTTAAACTTGATGGGACCAACTACTTGGCATGGTCRCAATCAGTGAAAMTCCATATTTGTAGCAGAGGGAAATGGGGTTTTATTTCTGGGAGCAAGAAAGCTCCTCCAGAGGATGATCCATCTTATGAGAGATGGATGCAAGAAAACTACAYAGTGATTGGGTGGCTTGTGAATTCAATGCAGCCACAGATTAGTCAGCACTATYTTTGGATGRACTCGGYTAAGGAAATCTGGGATAGTGTTGCAGAAACTTACTCCCAGAAGTTGAGTGTTGCCAGAGCCTACAAACTGATGAGTGATGTGAAGAATCTAAGGCAGGGGGAAAAGTCACTTGCAGCATACTTTTCAACCCTGAAATCTCTATAGCAAGAGATTGATTTGATAGAGGTTGTGACATGGGATACCCCTAATGATGCTGAAACATACAAGAAATTAGTTGAAAGGAACAGGGTCTTTGAGTTCCTGACAGGGCTGAATTCTGAATATGACATCACAAAGCAGAACATTTTGTCCAAGGAAGATGTTTCATTGTCTCAAGCATATGCTTTGGTCAGTAGTGAAGAGAGTAGGAGGCAAGTGCAGGTTCAAGGAGTCGGCATCAATGATCATTTTGCAAATATGGGAATTAAACCCAAAGGGGTTATAGGAGCTCCCAGTGGCACAGGAAAGGAGGTCGTGTGTGAATATTGCAAAAAGCCGAAACACACCAAGGACAAGTGTTGGAAATTGCATCCCAGTCTTGTCCCTATCCGATTCCAGAAGAAGAATGATAGTAGAAAGACAGGAAGTGCACATGCAGCCACAAGTACAGATACAGAGGTTGATTCTGCCAATACACAATTGGCATCCATGAAAGCTAAATATGAGAATTTGGAAAGATGATCAGCCAGCTTGAAGGTGTAACTTCATCATCCAATCCTTCTGTAAGTTCAGTCACCACCGCATTTGCTCACTCAGGTATAAGAGCTTCTGCTAACCATGCATCCACCTCAGGTAATCCCAAGACCCCTTGGATCATAGACTCATGTGCTTCTGATCACATGACCAACATTTCCACTTTGTTTGTTTCATATGATTTGCTTCCTGGTCGTGACAAAATCACCTTAGCTRATGGTTCTCTTGCCCCTATTTCTGGTAAGGGAACTGTCAAGCCTATAAACTCCTTACTCTTATCTTCCACTCTTCATGTACCTAAATTGAATACAAATTTATTATCTATAAGTAGCTTGACCAAGTCATTGAATTATTATGTAACATTTTTTCCTTCTCACCGTGTGTTTCAGGATTTGGAATCGTGGAAGGTGATTGGGAGTGGCCATGAAGCGAATGGAATATACTTGTTCGACACTCCTGGCTAATGCCTTGATTATCCCAAGAACGCTGCCCTTGGTTCTACTTCTTCGGAGTCTGTCAGTCGAATTTTGTTGAGTCATTGTCGCTTTGGTCATTTACCTTTTTCTGCTTTGAGTCATTTACTTCCCGAATTGTTTAAGGGAGTCAGTGTGTCTAGTCTCAATTGTGAGTCATGTTAGTTGTTAAAGCATTGTAGAAACAATTACCCTGTAAGAAATAAAAGATCTTCTTTTCCTTTTCATATTGTGCACTCTGATGTGTGGGGGCCTTATCACTTATCTTCTATGGGGGGCTACAGATATTTCATCATGTTTATTGATTACTTTTCTAGATTCACTTGGATATACCTAATGAAATCCCGTGATGAAGTTCCAAGACTTGTGAGGCAATTTCATGAGCTTATTTTAATCCAATTTGATACTAGAATTAAAGTTTTCAGATCTGACAATGCAAAAGAGTACTTTGAAAAGGGCTTATTCTTGTATCTCTCTGACATGGGGGTTATTCACCAAAGCTCGTGTTAGAACCCCTGAACAAAATGGAGTTGCTGAAAGGAAAAATGGACATATTGTTGAAGTTGCAAGAAGCCTTTTGTTTGCATCACATGTTCCTACAAGATTTTGGGGTGATGTTGTTCTTATTGCTACCTATCTTATAAACAGTATGCCATCCAGGGTTTTAGGGTTTAAATCCCCCTTCAATCTTCTTCATCCAGACAGTGATCTTTTTCCGATTCCTCTTCATGTGTTTGGTTGTACTTGTTATGTTCACATTCCAAGTACTAAAAGACATAAGTTTGAACCAAAAGCCCACAAGTGCATTTTCCTTGGTTATTCCCCCACACAAAAGGGTTATTATTGTTTTGATCCTAAGACTGGTACTCGGCATGTCTCTATGGATGTTACATTTGATGAACTTTCACCTTTTTATGGTTCCCCTCAAGAAGGACATTGTCAACAGGGGGAGAGATTGTCACAAGTATTTCCTCTTCCTCTTCCTGTCCCAATTGAGTCTCTTGACAAGCCTACATCCTCACCAAATGAACCAAAGGAGGATCAGCTACTTCATTCATCCTGTCCTGGTGCTCCTATTTCTTTACCTCCTCGTCCTACCCATAATCCAAAAGTGTACCAAAGGCAAAGATCCAAAAATGAGCAAGTTGTTTCCCTTACAACAGATGAGGCTCATACACTCCCAATCACAAATGAGATAACAGGTTCTGCTCCAACCCCCTTGGAACCATCATTCACAAATCTTGATGTCCACATTGTTGTTAGGAAAGGAAAGCGGAAGTGCTTTGCACACTGCATTTCCAAACACCTTTCTTATGATYTACTTTCTCCTTCATACTTTGCTTACCTCTCTTCAGTTGCTTCTAACTCTATTCCTAGGTCTGTATCAGAAGCTCTTGGGATTCCAGAATGGAGAGATGCCATGAAGTCTGAAATGGATGCTCTACACAAAAATGATACATGGGAAGTGGTGGATTTGCCTGAAGGGAAGGATCCTGTTGGATGCAAGTGGGTCTTTACCATTAAATACCGGGCTGATGGGACTATTGAGAGGTACAAGGCTCGACTG